TGATGAGGGCAATGAATGTACAAATGCGCTTTACACAATTGATGTATGTATGGATTGTGATAAGAGTTGTATGAGCCCCTAATAAAATGATTTTTTTTTTAAAAAAGACTTGCCTCGCCAGAGAATTGGAATGTACATCTCTGGGGCTGGGGACTGACGGTTGGTGACCTGCCTTGCTGTTTGCTGCCTGTGCTGGGATAGCCTAGCTCTCTCTACAGAGGACTACCAGGTGGCCCTCAAGACTTGAAGGACTTCCAGTGTCTCACAACTCTCTCACGGGAGTGAGTTGCACTGAGCCACTTGTACTGCTTTATAATTTAACTGTTCATTTCTTGTATTATACATCTATCTGTATATAATTTAACTGTTCATTTCTTGTGTTATCTATCTATCTATCTATCTTTATAAAATCATTAGCAATCTGTTTTTGTCTCTCTAAGAACCCTGTCTAACACAACCCCCTTGGCACAGTGACCTCTACAAAGGGGTGGAACATGACAGCCCAGGTGAAGACAGCACAGAACCGGCTCGTTTCCGGGTTGTTTCATAGAAGGTCACATGCGTCAGGGGCCTAACAGAGCAGCAGGGGGCATAAGAAGACAGTGTTGCAACAGGGGCCTAGATGAGAAAAGAGCAGCCCAGCAAATGCCCTTCGCTGGATGCCGCCTGTAGGGGACGTGGAGGGGGCAGGCTCACCACCACGGACACGCGAGATTGCTCTCCGGGCACGGGAGCCTGCCCATGTAAGGGTCTAACCCTCATTTTCTAGGGTCCTTTTGGGTGCAGTTAGGGGAAGGGACGGCTGGGGGGCAATGGCAGACCCAGAGGCTGTTGTAACAACACTACATGCTTCGCCCGGGATGGGAACAGCGAGGAGTGGAGCCCTCGGGACAAGAACTCAAACCCACGGCCATCGAGCCCATCTGACTCAGCGACCCGAGAGCAGGGGTTCTCCACCTTCCTCAGGCCGCGACCCTTTCACACAGTTCCTCATGTTGTGGGGACCCCTACCATAAAATGATTTTCGTCCTTCTGCTGCTGTAATGAATCAGGCGACCCCTGTGAACGGGTCGTTCGACCCCCAAAGGGGTCACAACCCACAGGTTGAGAACTGCTGCTCTAGGGCAGAGTAGAATTGCCCTTGTCTGTGAGTTTCCAAGACTGTAGCTCTTCATGGGAGTAGAAAGCCCCATCTCTCTCCTGCAGCGTAGCCGGTGGCTTTGAACTGCTGACCTTGCTGCCAACAGCCCAACACTTAACCACTGGGCCACCAGGGCTCCTCCCTCGGGTGACAAAAGCACCGCAGAATTTAAAGTGGCAGTAGTGTCCGGTCTGGCCGTTCTGAAAGCCATCTGAATCTGAGGAGGTGGGCAGCGCCGTGCTCCTGCCAACGGCTTGGGAAGAGGCGTCCTGGTATGCTCCGGTATCCGGTGACCCGGGTGTCCTTTGGCGTGCAGCTGCAGTAGCAGGATCCTGATGTCACGTGACCACATGGCGCTCCTGTGTGTTTGTTCGTGTGACCAAATGAAATGAAGGTGGTCCCCAATCACGTCCTGTTTACTTGCTGAGGCACTTGGCCCCTCACCAGGTCCCGATAGGCCCCCTCCAGCCTAGCACCAGTGATTGCCTGGTCCCAGCAGGCTCCCCATCCTGCCCTGGCCCCTTGGCGGGGATGTGGGTGCTTCTGTTAAAGCCATCCCTCACGTCAAGTCCTGCCAAGGGAAGCCAGCCGGTGGGCTCAGCCTGAGAGATGGATTTTCCAGAGCGAGCATTTGTATCTGTTTTAAACTTGTCTCCCTGGGAAACACATGTCCAGGCTGACGGAGAAGCATCTAGAACACAAATGGGTTCCATTAAAGCGGCGGGCAGGGCCTGACTCCCGGCCAGGTCCAAGGAGGAAAAGGCTGGACAGGGGAGCGAGCCAGACCCCTGCACAGTCCGCCTGCGCCTGCTGCGGGGACCACGCGTCGCTCAGGATGAGTGGCTGGGGGGACAAGCCCTTGTGTTTCCTTCTCGTGTGGATGTCTGTGTATCTCCATGTGGCTTCGTCCCAGGAAGCCGGTCCCCACGGGCCCCGCAGGCCCTTCCTTGAGAGGCTTCGCCGGCTGGAAGAACAGGTACGTGGAGAAGCCTGTGAGCCTGCGCCAGGGGGTCAGCCGGCTCTATCTCACTGCCTGGCGTTCTTGACCCCAGTCCTGGGCGCGGGCTGCTCTGAAGACGCGTCCCAGGAGGACGAGTGAGGAGGGGAGGGTCAGACAGGGGAAGGGGGCCTGGAAGATGATGAGAAAAGCGGGTGGAGACAGGCCGGCCGGCGGGGGCAGAGTGGGGCTAAGGGTGCTGGGCAGGGTCCCTGGTCTCAGTGCAGGGGGCAGGGGGCAGCCTCAGCCACCCCTGTGTGGTTCCCACTCACAGATCACCAATGGCTCCCCTTTCACTGCTCCTGGTCTGGGCACCCACAGTGGACCCCAAGCTCACAGAGGCGAAGGGAGGCCTGGTGGCTGCCCAAAGGTCACCCGGACTCCACACCCCATCTCAGTGCTCACCTGCCTTTCTCTGCTCACCTGCCGCCTGTGGCGGCGTCCTAGATCCTTACTCTCGAGAACCAGAACTAGAAAGGAAGCCAGTTTGCCATGAGTTGACCTGATTCCTGGTGGCTACCCCCCCCCCCTCGTGGGTCACGTAGACTGTGCTCTGTAGGTTTCTGGTAGATGGTGATTTGGGGAAGTAGGTGTATCGCCAGGCCTTTCTTCCAAGGTGCCTCTGGGAAGATTCCATCCGTTCTGTTTCCAACCAGATGCACTTACACCCTTTAGTGAGCCCCTTTGGACACCCACCTCCCACCTCTCTGCTACGGAGGCGGTGCCGACTCAGCGGCCCTCGAGGGGAGAGTAGAAATGCCCCTGTGGGGTTTCCCAGGCTTTTTTAAAAAATCATTTTATTGGGGGCTCATACAACTCTTATCACAATCCATCCATCCATCCATTGTGTCGAGCACATTTGTACATTTGTTGTCATCATTCTCAAAACATTTACTTTCTACTTGAGGAGCCAGCTCCTCATTTTTCCCTTCCTCTCCCACCCTCCCTCCCTCATGAACCCTTGATACTTGATAAATTATTATTTTTTCATGTCTTACACTGTCCAATGTCTCCCTTCACCCACGTTTCTGTTGTCCATCCCCCAGAGAGAGAGTTATATGTCAATCATTGTGATCGGTTCCCCATTCCTCCCCCACCTTCCCTTCCCCTCCCCATATCGACACTCTCACGACTGGTCCTCAGGGGCTCATCCGCCCTGGATTCCCTGTGTTTCCAGTTCCTATCTGTACCAGTGTACATCCTCTGGTCTAGCCAGATTTGTAAGGTAGCATTGGGATCAGGATAGCGGCCCAGCAAATGCCCTTCGCTGGATGCCGCCTGTAGGGGACGTGGAGGGGGCAGGCTCACCACCACGGACACGCGAGATTGCTCTCCGGGCACGGGAGCCTGCCCATGTAAGGGTCTAACCCTCATTTTCTAGGGTCCTTTTGGGTGCAGTTAGGGGAAGGGACGGCTGGGGGGCAATGGCAGACCCAGAGGCTGTTGTAACAACACTACATGCTTCGCCCGGGATGGGAACAGCGAGGAGTGGAGCCCTCGGGACAAGAACTCAAACCCACGGCCATCGAGCCCATCTGACTCAGCGACCCGAGAGCAGGGGTTCTCCACCTTCCTCAGGCCGCGACCCTTTCACACAGTTCCTCATGTTGTGGGGACCCCTACCATAAAATGATTTTCGTCCTTCTGCTGCTGTAATGAATCAGGCGACCCCTGTGAACGGGTCGTTCGACCCCCAAAGGGGTCACAACCCACAGGTTGAGAACTGCTGCTCTAGGGCAGAGTAGAATTGCCCTTGTCTGTGAGTTTCCAAGACTGTAGCTCTTCATGGGAGTAGAAAGCCCCATCTCTCTCCTGCAGCGTAGCCGGTGGCTTTGAACTGCTGACCTTGCTGCCAACAGCCCAACACTTAACCACTGGGCCACCAGGGCTCCTCCCTCGGGTGACAAAAGCACCGCAGAATTTAAAGTGGCAGTAGTGTCCGGTCTGGCCGTTCTGAAAGCCATCTGAATCTGAGGAGGTGGGCAGCGCCGTGCTCCTGCCAACGGCTTGGGAAGAGGCGTCCTGGTATGCTCCGGTATCCGGTGACCCGGGTGTCCTTTGGCGTGCAGCTGCAG